AAAATTAAAAATTATGTCAAATTCACCACTAGAGAACTTATATCCTGTAACTTTTGATTATGGTGCTCCATATTAATTCCACAACAATGGATATGCTTTTGTTATGTTTAAGCAAAAGAATCCAAAACAATGAGCCATTGATATTAAGGAATTACTGCAGCTTCAAATCAATCTAACAAAAAATAATCATGCTCACGCCACAAAAATATGTCATATAGCAATTTTTTTTTCATGTCAATTAGGAAGGAAACCATGAGCAAATCAAGTGCAAAATTAGGTTGTTCAAAGACGCCCAAGGTATAAATATCATCTCTCTTATTCAAGATGAGTCAAAAATTCCTAGGCATTCATGGCATACTCATCCTTCTGCAGCGTGTTTGAGAGGGATATCTTAAGATAACATTATCATGAGATATCAAAACTTTCACGTCTCACAGCAGCACAAGGTTGAAACCTTAAAAGGGAAAAAGAAATAAAAGCATCAGTGCCTAAAGTGCCTCACATTAGCGAAAAGCAGTGAGACTCCATACTTGTTATAACAGTCTATAGCATCATTATCTCTAATGCACCCACCTGGCTCTGTGATAACTCCAATTCTACTTTCACAGGCTTCTTCCGCAGCATCTTTCCAAGTTGTTAGTAAAAACATGTTTGTGTGATTGTGTCAAATATTAACAGGAATCTGTGAAGGTTATGGACACTAACGATCATTTATACTTGCTAAGGTGAATGATCTAGCAGCCATTTCTCTTTCTTCTGCATCCTGTAGGGCTCTTGCATAGGCCTCATCACTTGAAAATACAGCAGGGTCATATTCAAGAGTAGAGTAGTTGTCCTGCCCGATTTCAACTTGAGCATGGACATAAAATGCATCTCCTTCATCATTCACATCAGCTCTCAACTTCCATTATCACTGCCCTCAACATTCATCCTAAGCATCATGTATGTCCTTTCCTATTTACCAAATAGGATCTTTGTTGATGAAACAATACAGAATATAATGGAACTTGGTGATGAACAAACGTAAACAAGAACTATAAGAAAGTCACAAAGACAAAAGAAAGGAAGGTACTTAACACTCCAGTTATACTACAAACATAGACCAAAATGATGCAGAAGTTCAGATTGAAAGAAAGGAAGGCTTATGGGTTGCCATTTCATTTCATTGACATCGAGGGATGGAAATATGTCATATCCTTCTTAGTCAGCATAAAGTCTTGTTTATGGCTTCGGTACCAATTTTGTCTGTGTTACTTTAGTCAGTTATTTGTGTAATAAAACTCTTTTAAGTTTCATGTCCTAGTATTTCTCATCAGGCAAGCATGGGGCTCTCATGTGGATCTCTGTGATTCACGTCTTCTAGTGCTAATGGCATCTGAGAGCCAGCTATTACAATCGGAATATGAGGATTATGTTGCTGTAAATTCTGGTAGCCTTGCCTGCCTCCGTGCTGTTGCTCTCATTGTAAGCAAAAATATATATATTCTTCTCTGGTTTTCTTGTCTTTTTAACAACCATCATATGCATAACTAATATAAATTCATGTTGATTTGTGATATGTGCAGTTGCTGATAATTTTGCTTGTACACCAATTCCTTTTGGTGACTAGAGATTCTAGCATGGTCCAGGAATCTTCAGCATTCTATAATATGAGTTCATAATGACGTAAACATGCTTATTATACCATATCATTTCTATTAGATATTGATCTATTCTTCTTATAAAGATGCTAATGCTATTGGATGATGAATATTACTGATACAGAAGAGCCTGTTAATATTTTTGTGACACAGGCATGAATGCATTTGTATATTCAGAACTTCCCCTTTTTCCTAATGATTTTGATGTTAATAAATGCTATACAATGACTGGTACCTAGGGTAAAGAGTGAATAAGAATATCGGGTAATCAGTTCCAGGTTCCACTTCTTCAATTTGCTGGCTTTCTTCTTCCATGCTATGTGATGGCTCCCACATGGTACTTGCAAAGTCGAAGGAGGAGACAAGTAGGTTTGCTACTCCAGAAAATTAATTTTCTCTTTTCACAATTTGATGTTTTCAACAATATGGAAAGCAGATTTATCCATGCAATCAAAATCTGAAAGGAAATTCTTATTGTTAATCCTGCTATAGCTATCATTCTTATACTTAGTGGGTCAAGAAGGGGCTCAGTGCTCTCAATTCCCAATATATTGACATCCATAACTTTGAGAATGCAAGTAGAACATTATCAGTTCATATAAGAACTTTGAAATTTTGCCTTGCATGAGTATGACTAGCTAGATCTCTTCTTGCGAGATTCATGTACCATTGCTGATTTCTTTTTACCTTATTGTTTCAGGGTTGAAATGCCAGCATCAAGAATCTCCTTCAAATTAATCCGAAAGGACACCTTTGCTTTCAATGGATTCAAGCAAGTTTTCTTGTATATGACATTTGCACAAAGGTTTAATCTTCTATCAAAGGGGTGTCACAACATGGAAAATGATGGCTAGAATCTTTGTATCCCATCTGTGAAAAACTCGGAAGAAACTGTGAATGTAATTATGAGTTCGTAAGGGCTTCAATGTTAAATTCAATAATCATTTCATGCACCTCAATCCTGGAAACTCATTGTCTCGTATTATCACACATCCATGTTGATTTGTTACAGATCCCAGTCCCACCAGACCTAGTTCAAGTCTATACTGCACTTCTACACGATACAAAAAGCCCTTTTGGGTTGGGTTGATTTTTATCAGTTCATTCATCAAGTAGTGATTGGGAAAGACTGGCTGCTTTGTATGTGGCCTTTTGGACCTCCGAAACTTTTGAAAATACAAAAGCTTTGTTTCCTTTGTGGGCTGATATTGCACTAATATCCAAAGCCTACAAGTGCCCTTTCATTTGTATTTGTTCACAGGAGATGAGTTTTGGTATATCAAAATAGTGAGTTTACTGATTTATAATTCGAAATAATAAGATATGAATTTTTTTTTTTTTTTGAACAAGTTGTTAAGGGACGGCTACGAAGCTGATCCATGAGAAAAGGGAGAATGCACTTCAAGTTGGCTGAGTGTCAGTTAATCCGAAAGGTCAGGGTCAGGTGTAATAAAATATAAATTATTAAATGAGAAGGATATAAATTATTTGATAAGGGGGTAATTTTTAATATCAAAAGGTTTAATTTTATTTAATAATTTATATTATATAATTAAATATAATTTAAATTATATAATATTTTTAATAAAAAAATCACCGTTTTGACAAGAAGAAAAAAAACAAGAGAGAGAGAGGGAAATAAGGAGTTGGGAAAAATCACTATTGTAAAATAATCATCGACTTGATAGGTAATGATGACATAATGTTTATAAAATTAATAAGACAAGAACAAGAAAGCTGGACTGATTGAACTTTCCCTAATTTTAAAACCATCAGGAAACGACCTAGAAGCCTAGGTTCATGTTACTACACACTAACAAAAGATCTTCCGACAAAACACATCAAACATAATCTTTCCCTTAATTTTGTCATGACTCATGAGAGAAAGAGAATTTTTTATAATTATTTTTTTAAAAAATTTTATTTGTATTTTGTAGTGATTCCCCAAAAACCAATATTCTGAGGTATATGTTTTGCAAATAATATAATAATTTTGTGGCTAAAGGCCAAAGGGTATCCCATCTATCACCATTAACAAAGAAAATGTGAAAAAGGACAAAATAAAGGACGGTTGTTTCCATGGCCAAAAGCTTGTGCCTTGATAGTGAACTACTTCTAGGTGTATATATCTATATGTGTTCCACTAGTCCAATCTCCCTAACAATTGATTCCTTTTAATCCTAAATAAAATCAAGAATATACCATTACTTTTTCAAAATAAAAAATAAAAGTGCTTTAACTTTATAATATGAGTTTAGTGTAAATATTATATTAAATTGTAAAATATTAATTATTAAATAAATAGAACCTCTCTTACCATCAAAAGTTTTTTTATTTTAGTAATTAGTATTTTATAATGCAGGACAATTTAAATTGCAAAATTTTTTTATTATAATATATTATATTATTGTTATAAGATAGTTGTGTCCTATATAATTCAGGCATGAAACAGAGCCATTGTAAAAAGGTACAATGTAACTTTTATTTTAATATATTTTTTATAATAAAGATGTAAATATTTTTAAAACAAATTGGGTAGAAACATGCTAAATTTAGGTTTTAACTCAACTAACTCTGACATTGTTGGGAACAAGAACTCAAAATAGAATAGTTTTGCTTTGTACATAAACAAAACAATTGTTAATTACAGTGAGAAGAACAAAACATAAACAGAAGCCCTATAAACAGGTCATCTTGTTCATATAATCATCTTATTAAGTTATTGACCCAACTTGAGAACTACTAAAAATTGAAATTGATTAAATTTTTAATTGGATTAGTTAAATAGATCTCTTCTGTTAGATAGTATACATTAATTAAATAGTTTAAACAATGAGGAAGAAAAATATATTTTTTTTTATTTTAGTTGCACAATGAGAGACAACTATCTCACATTCCTTATCCCATCACGTCCTATATCATGCGATTCAAACTTAATGATAATATACATTAAAATTTTTTTAAAAAAATAATTCAAGTATATTATTTAAAAGATTTTAAATTCAAATATAATCGTCAATCATATCATTAGAGTTGTTGAAAATCTAATCTATTATAAATGCTAATTAAATTAGTAATCAACTACCACTAATCAGTCTAAAGCAAATGCAATGAATCTTCATCTGAAGCAAATTTCAAGATTTGCTGTCAGTTTCAGTATTGCATGTATTGTGCCATGATTTCCGTTGGCTTCATTCTCCTCTTAAAGACTCAATGACTAATGCCTTGCCAGTCAAAGTAGGCAGATAAACAAACCAAAGTTCCTTCCATCATTAATGACTTTATTTTGGAGGGATGACAAACAACAGGTCGAGTTTCATGGATTTTTCAAACACAACTAACCTTATTAAACGTGTTTTTTTTACTAGGTTTTATTAGGGGTGATTATTGCTATGTAAGAAAAGTGTTAAAATTAAAATCATGCAAAAGTAACTCAATTTTGATTGCTTTTAACATGTATAAACAAAATTTTATTACAAAAGCCTCCTAAAGTGCTGATTAAAACAAGATGAATGTTAGTTGCACCTGAAAATTTTTTTAATTCAATTATTTGAAAGATGTGACAAAAACATACGTAACGTTGTCACATTAGATAAAAAAATTCTTATAAGTTAATATTAATGTAATATTGACATATAACTAATATTTTTTAAAAGATATTTTAATTGATAAAAATTTAAATATTTATATTAAAAATCTTAAAATTTAAACTTATGACGAATAAAAAAAAAAACAGTTATTTTCTTTTATATATAATCGATCATCTAATGAATGGTAAAAATGAAAAGAAAAAACTCTTATAATAATCTTTAACACTCTCAAGATTAATTCAAATGAGTATGATTTATTTTGTTAACTAGTTAATGTTATTATTTCAGTTTTTTAAACCGATGAAAACTGCTTAATCGGTAATTACGGTTGATTACGAGCTGCCACGTCATAATGTTTCAAAGAAAACGAAGGGGCGAAGACAAACATCAAAACCGTGTGGGTCCCATGTTATGACCAAATCCTCGTGGACTTTTTTGCGCACGGTTGCAGTTTTTGCCTGTGTTGTGGGCTCCATCCTATTCAAATGAACTTTACACCTTCACTCGCCTTCATCAGGCGGTGATTACCACGCCTCCTCTTCGAATAGCCACGTGGAATATGTGCCACGTGGATGACTGGAAAAGCAGACCGCGAATAGGGAGGATCCAGAACTGAGTGGGGGAGTTTGCAAAAATCATAGAAAAAGAAGGCGGTGAATAACGACAGGGTGGGACCCGCTTTCAGAAACTCGCCACCTGAATCCGGAAACTGCTCTGAGGTCTGAAAATGATTTCCCGCCAATAAAATTTAACGGAAATTACAAAATGAGTTGGAAAAACTAGAAAAGTATTTTTATGGAAAAGACATTTATTAAAAGGAAGTAATATACAGATATTTTTTAAATTTTGTATATTTCATTAAATAAATATATTTTAAATTATAAGTCTTAAATAAATAAATAATAATAATTTAATAATACATAAAATTGTGAAAAATAATAATATAAAAAAATATTTTTTATTAAATTAGTAAATAAATTATCAACCGTATTATTGCAATTTTTAGCATTTAAATCTTGTTTCTCATTTTAGATTTTTATTTTAAAATAGAAAATTCAAATTTAGATAAATATAAATAACTTGAAGGTATTAAAGTATGAGTGATATAGATTTTTTTCATCTTATGGAAAATTTTCATATATTTAGAAGTTTGTTTAGATGTTAATTTTACTTTATTTTGAATAATAACAAGATTATTATTCCTACAAATGTTAATGGTATACTATCCACAAAGGTATAGAAGATTAAGGTCCTCATAAACTAATTAAACTTTTTTTTTTTTTCCATTTTAGGGGGTGCCAACTGCCAAGAGTAGTTAGCTCAAATTGGCCGGCAATCCATTCAATATTATAGTGGAAAAACAACCAATGGGTTTTTAGAAAAAGAATTCAATGGTTTATGAAATGTCTTTGCTTATAACAGTTGAATAATGTTGTCTTCAAGTAGTGTCTTGACTTATATATAATTACCAATCTATTTGGTTGTTAAAAAATTAAGAAGGAAAGAAGGAGGAAGTATCGGCTACAACCACACCGCGTGTGTAGCTGTATT